CGGTTCGAAATGACAGCGACGAATTTTCGAAATGCCAAAATCCGAAATTGCAGATTTGAAGTAAAGGTTTCAAGATACTCAAAGAAAAAAGAATTAGTAAAATAGGTCAAATAGTCACAGAGTTACAGCATTGTAGGTCAAATGCATTCCTTCGTAAAATTCGGTGATTTCGGATTCGTAAAACGTTTTGAAAATATATTTAATCAACAGCCACCACCCATTTTTGGGGGGATAGGTAAAAGTTTCAGAACGATCCTATGGTTAGATTCTGAGAAATCCGATTTGTGGACAAAACACAAAAAAAAAATAACAATAACTAGATCTGCATAGCAGATATCAAAGCTTTCATATAAACTTCAAAAGGCGTTATTAGAATCTATGAATCATCAACCACTCTGACGGATGTAGAAAGGAATATATTGTTACTAAATCTGTTGTACTGTTTCTTGTTATGGTAAAGAAAACATGAATAGAACTATGAGATTTGTATAGAATTGGCATTAATCAATATATTTATTGTTTAATACTACATGTATATTATAGATACAAAGTGAATTAAATGAACCCAATTACATGTACTTTATATAAGCAATGTTTTTTTATTCATCGTTACTTTGAAATCACATTATTTTCATTGATGATAAAAAGGTTGTATTTGTACCGAATCCAAAAAGTATGTTGTATGACATTGCATTATCTGTACCAATTATTTATTTGCAAACCAATATACAATGTTTATTTCTACTCCAATATATTTGTTTCAACCCATGATAGTTTATTCACTCTTCTCACTTAAATACAAGAATAACACACGATTAAATTACTGAAACAAGTAATGCTGGTAGATTATAATTTGATATTGTATACCATTTACTCTCTGTTAGATAAGGCGACGTGGTAATCTGTTAGATAAACATACATGGAAGTATATGTTAGATAACTACAATTTATGATATATTTTAAACCAAGGAAGTGGCCTTTCTAAAAATAAAAAAAAATAAAGGAAAATATATTTCATACAATTGTTATACTGTTACTGTTATCGTGAAGAAACATGATTGTTTATTTAATGTTGTTTATGACAAACATGTAATCATGTACATTTTTTAAATAAGAACAATTATGCTACATGTATGAATAACTCTCAAAAATTATGTTTTCATCAATCCAAGTATTTTTTTATTTGTATTACTTGATTTATACTGAATAAAGATTACACAAACATACAAAATGGTGTTGGCTGTGTGACTGAATTCCTCGTTGAGAAGTGGTATCGGGTGTCCCATAGAGAAGAAGCAAACCCTCCTTGTGATACACTTGTGAACATTTTAAAAGACCCATTTCGCTGTGTTCCAGAAAAATCCCCATTATAGCTAGTGCATTACATGGTTGTTGTTGGGGGAAAGGTGGGTCTTTTCTATTGGCAATGATTTACTTTTTATAGGCCCACATTGAAATGTGGTCGTATATTGTCGTCGCCCCCCTTTTGCTGTTAATATCCGATTGACTTTAAATTTATACGCAGTGTTTAAGGTCATAAGACGAAGAAGCCTTTGATTTGCTCTGCCCAGGCAACGTTCCTGTGCTCCGATTGCCTTCAAATATGCACAGAATGTACCTTGGGATTCTAGCTATCACATATTAAAAATAGAAGAGTGTTGGATTCCGAGAACGTTCAAAATAAATTCAAAACCCGCCCCCAACAATCAAAGGTTTTTTGCTTAAAAAATTGCCGTATTTTATCGAATTTTTATTGTTCTTGATATCTGAGGATTTTTCTCAATTTAGTATGTGATAAATATCATCGCGGCGCAGCCAACCGCTAGAAATTCCAGAGATTTGGATGCCTCAGCAGTCAAAAAAGGTCAAAATAGGCGATTTCGGTTTCTAGTGTCGATACATCGTTACGGTCATTTTAAAAAATTGTCTTTTAAGGATAATGTGTATAGTACCAGTACCTATCACATACGGAAGAGGCGATAAAATCTCTTTGCATTTGCAATTTCAAAATTAATTAAAACCAATATTAAATTCCGAAAATCGTTTTTTTGCTAAAACTTTTTTTTTTTTTAATCGGATCAAAATGGGAGTAAGGCACAGAGTCCGGGGTGGTAATGGGCGTATTGTGTCCAAATTTCATGGTTTTCGGACAATCGGTGCCGGTGTCACGGCGAAATTCCACTTTTTTCCCCTCATGGAAGCCGTAAATTGACTTGAAGCCAGGGTCCTTGAAGTTGTACAGCTGCACCCGGTGACCGATATTTATTTAACGGGGAATAAGTGATAATTCATATTATAGCAGTAAATAATTAAAATATTTCATAGGGATTATAATAATATCTATATCTTGTCTGGGTACAGGGTTAAAACCAATATTAAATTCCGAAAATCGTTTTTTTGCTAAAACTCTTTTTTTTAAATGGGATCAAAATGGGGGTAAGGCACAGAGTCCGGGGTGGTAATGGACGTATTGTGTCCAAATTTCATGGTTTTCGGACAATCGGTGCCGGTGTCACGGCGAAATTCCACTTTTTTCCCCTCATGGAAGCCGTAAATTGACTTTAAAAAAAAACGACGAAAGGCAGGTGACAAGAACAAACGACATGAACGAATGCAGGTATCACCTTGAAATTTTCAGGGTACCTAGGTACCAACGTGAAAAGTTGCTCGCCGGAATTTAGTACTCATGGTACCTTTGGTTCCAGCGTAGCGCATGCGCGAAGTCAAATCCAGCTAAACTCGAAAACAACCTTGTCGGCACGGAAAACATCAAAGGAGAAATTCGAATAAAAAATGATACAATGATTTCACACAACAGGCCAGCTATTAGCCTCTTGATTGACAAGAGTTTCATCGCCCTCCATACATTATAACCAATGTCATTGTGCCCTAAAGAATCAACAAATCAGCTTGCTTATCTCTGCTTACCCTAGGCAAAAAATGCTCATCTTTGAACTCAATCATGACATTGACCTAGTGAACGCCTACACCAAGTTTGAACATTCTAGCTTAATTAGAAGGAGAGTTCTTGTGTTCCAAAGTCCCGGCCCTTCAAATTGCTTCTATTTTTCATTTTCAATTCAAAATGGTGACCATCACGTGACCGAAATCAAAATTCTGATCCGATAGATTTTTAGGTATTCCTTCCAGGATTCCGAAAATATGACGCCCGAGTCTGTAAGTAAAATAGCAAAAAAGCCTTTTTGATTTTTCACGTTTAAAGATGGTGGCACTTCCGGTTCGATCGACAAACTCCATATTTTGTGTACGAATCAGTAATTACTTGTCTAGTATCGAATTTTTTTTTTAGGTCATTCTGACCTATATTTCGACGATTTTTTTGAAAACTTTGATCCTTAATTTCACCAAGGGGAGATAATTTAGAAAATTTCCAAGGACATCATTGAAGTCGCATTGACAAGATCTACTAACATTCTAAATTTCACGAAAATCGCACAACTATTAAAGAAGTTGTCAAATTGGTAATAACTTCCGGTTCGAAATGACAGCGACGAATTTTCGAAATGCCAAAATCCGAAATTGCAGATTTGAAGTAAATGTTTCAAGATACTCAAAGAAAAAAGAATTAGTAAAATAGGTCAAATAGTCACAGAGTTACAGCATTGTAGGTCAAATGCATTCCTTCGTAAAATTCGGTGATTTCGGATTCGTAAAACGTTTTGAAAATATATTTAATCAACAGCCACCACCCATTTTTGGGGGGATAGGTAAAAGTTTCAGAACGATCCTATGGTTAGATTCTGAGAAATCCGATTTGTGGACAAAACACAAAAAAAAATAACAATAATAATCTTAACAGAAACAATAAGCTTTCATATGTAATATGAAAGCTTAATAATCTTAACAGAAACAATAAGCTTTCATATGTAATATGAAAGCTTAATAATCTTAACAGAAACAATAAGCTTTCATATGTAATATGAAAGCTTAATAATAATCTTAACAGAAACAATAAGCTTTCATATGTAATATGAAAGCTTAACTAGATCTGCTAAGCAGATATTAAAGCTTTCATATTCACAGTCAATGTCACATGTCATAGAAATAATATGAACAGAAAAAAAAAATCATTATAATGAGTAAAACTTTGGTGAAGTTAATTCGATTTTTCACTGGTAAATAATTAAATAGACAAGTGGCATAACTTGACCCGCATCCCATCAGCTATCCTGAAAAATGCTGGAAAAATTAAACAAGTAAATTGTGTTTAGTACTGGGTTAATTAAGACAGGCATATGCCTTTGCTATACAGGATGACATGAGGGAAATTTAGCTTGGGAGGTGTAGGCCTGCAGCCAAAATTTTTAGCTAGCTTAGAAACACAACTCCGCTACACGGTCTTCCATAAAAGAAAAACTATACATTTTTGGAAAGCTTATGATGCCAGGAAGACAAAATCTGGGAGTTCCAAGCAAAATGTTTTCAATTTATTGATTTAGGGCCAGATGAAATTCGTCAAAATTGTCAAATAAATGCTATTTGTGTACTAACAATTCTGAAGTTGACATAAAATTAAATAGTTGGTAAAACACCTCATGCCTTCATCCTTGGCAATGAACAGTTTATTGGACAGATTTTGATGTAAATAAAAATGCTCAAAACACAAATGTCATGGGTGAATAAAGAATTGTGGAAATCCATTAACGGTAAAAAAGAATTATCTCCCTTTCTGTCAAATGCCTGTAATTGATAGACTATCAGGTCTTGTATGAATCATAAGACCAGGTGTGGGCAAACAAGCCCAATAATTATTTTGTTTGTTGGATCTCAAGGGCCTGTTAGGGTTGGTTGTTGGATGTTTGCTCAGAAATTATCGCTTGTATGGAACATGCTAGAGTCGATTTGTAGCATATTCTAGCCAGGGGATATATTTGACAGTAGTTGAGTGATATGCTTTTGAAATAATGGAGATCAGTAGCACTTTATAAGCATTGAACCACATGATTTTTTTCCACTAAGATAAACATTCTAAACCCACATACATGTTCCCTTTCAATTAGCCACTACAGTATTTTTACAACTGTACATGTAGCTGTGAACTACTATTTCGGATATGATTAATGGTCAAATTACAAACATACATGTAGATATAAGTTAAAAAAAATAATTGTGTATCTGGGCTGGAATGAAGGGAAAGGTTAGAAAACAGGATGAACAGTTGTGAAATTATTTATTAAAGTGAAACAATCATTGAAAATCAAAATTAAACAGTTACTCTGCACATCAAATGTCATCAAAGTTAATCTTCATTATCATCATCACTGTCACTAAATGTATTAACATCAAATTCGGTCTCTTTAACAGTTTTTTTTTCATTTTCACATTGACTACACATGCACAGGTCTGTACAAGAAAGGGGGGTTGGGATGGCCTAGAGTGCCGCGCTTCGACCTCTAGCTGGTCGGTCACCTCTGGCTTGTGGCTGTGGCTTTGATCCCAGGTGTGAGCGTATGTGGCATGGAGATAGAGGCGTCTTCTCAACCTCGTGGGTTTCCTCCGGGCACTCCGGTTTCCTCTCACTGCTAAAGACCCATACGCGCAAGCGAATTATTGAAATAAAATTGAAACCGTATGTTAGTCCCAAAATGACCTAGTTTGTGTTGAGTGGACGTTAAACCCCATTTCTCTCTCTCTCTCTCTCTGTACAAGACAACTTTGCTGGCCATTTATGATTCTTTCTCTTATGACATCTTCACAGAATATATTGTATGTGGTTTAATATTCGACGGAGGGCTAGTCATCTTTGCTGAAAAATATAAATAAACATATACATGTACACAATTAAAACAAAATTCTGGAGCTTGGTTTACTCTCATTAATTTCGTACAACAGAGGAAAAAGACACTTACACAGGGGTTAACATCTTATTTTCATGCAGAAACCAGCTAATGAAGACAGGAAGGCATTAGCAGTACAAGGAGAGATAGAGAGGAGAATTGCGGTTTAACGTCCACTGGACAAAAACATAGTAATTTCAGGACTCACCCATGGTTCAGTTTTATTTGAATAATACCAGTGGCAAGAAGGCGGAGAATACAAATAAAAAAAACATCACAAATATTTACCTTTCTGATAACTGTCTAAGAAATTCAGTACATGTATATTGCCTATAACATTTTTGGTGATATCTGACCTCAATGGCCACACAATCTTGCCCTCTGATATGCCTTAAAATATCTTCATCCTCTTTCAATTCAGCAGCTTTCAACAGTTGGCCTACAAGCAAATTTGCAAACAAATTATACACCATATAGCGTTGAATGTTGTTTGTGCTCAAGGGTGGGGGAGGGAATGTCACTTTGAGGCCTACATGTACATGTACCTGGCTGGTCAACTCTGGCATGCGGTTTAGTTCAGATCCTTTGTGTGAGCGGAAATGGTCTAGAGACAGATCGTCTTAGCAAGGCACCTACAAGTGGGCCAAGAAAATAAAAAACAAGTTAACTTCTCTATGTTTCATCCCTTGTGCAAGCAAATGTGCAACACTTTAACCAATGACTGTGCCAAATCAACAAATGGGGTAAAGGGCTTTACTGGCTAGCTTCATAACAATTTTACAGTGATTGCAGTAGCACTTCTGATTCCATTTACAACAAAAACAACAACACAATAATTAAAAACTGTAGGATGAATATATTTAATATTTATTAGTAATAATTATAAATTTAGTAAGTAACATAATATTAACATTAGGCCTACCTGAGCCTGTTTGGGTCTGAGTCTGTGTTAATACACCCTTCTTCCTATTTTCTCCAACAGTGACAAATCTGTCACGTTTTTTACATATAATACACACAACAGGCAGCACCGATTTACTCTTTCTTTTTGCTTCAGGAGCGTAATTTGTTTGGAGAGCTAGGTCCCAGATCGTCTACACTCCCGCTATTCCCTGGTTGGATTGTAGCCGGGGATTTTAATTTTTTCTTTATCTATACGATTATTCTATCTATATACATTTGTACAGATATATTTGTATCCATAGATATATATTTGTATCAATACATTTAATTTTGTTGTTTGAAATAAGGGGGGGGGGGTGAATGGTTAGTATGTGCGCGCTGTATCATAAGGTCTGCCATTTAGTGAACTGGTGTGGTTTCAAATCCCCAGTTGTACGTGGCAAGGAGTAGGGTAGCACGTTCATCCTTCGAGGGTTTTCTCTGCGAACTCCAGTTTCCTTCCATTGCTAATGACCCATACGCACAAGCAAATTATTGAAATAAAATTGGACCATGTGTTAATGCCAAAATACCTAGTTTCTGTCGAGTGGACTTAAACCCCATTTTTCTCCGTCTTCTGATTGAAATATGAATACCACATCATTTATTGTCATTTTATATATTTATTATGTATTATGTAATAATGATTTTTCTCTGTGTTAATTTTTCTTTGTGTGGATACACTATAATACAACAGCTGGCTGAAAAGTTCTAGATCTGAAGAGGAGAGATTTAATTGGCTTTTACCACCACAAGTAGAATCATTGAATGAATCATAGACATAAGACCTGCAGCTGAAGTGTTATTATTGTATTTGTACCAGACAATCTTGTGAACCTACCCATTGAAATCACCAAAAATGGACAGAACTATCTATATGGCAGTCATCAAGTATCTGCAACTGAAAGTCCTAACCCAAACATTGAAATATGTGGATACGGTCTCCACTATAGGAGACAATGGCCCTTCCTTTTCTGCACTAAAGAAGTGGTTGCAGGAGGTACTTGATCCAGTGACATCCAGTGACAATCTTTGCTGTTTTCAATATTTCCTAAAAAAATTTTAGCCAGATTTTTAAACATAGAGGAGACCTGGATTCATCAGTTTCAACCAGAATGCAAAATTCAATAAAAACAATGGAAGCATCCAGACTCGCAAGTCCCCAATCAAGCCAGGTCAGTTCTTTCGACTGGACAGGTGATACTTTTGAATTTTATACTATTGTATTCATTGTAGTTTTTTGTCATTATTAGCCCAGTCCGTGCATAGCATTATGATGTGAAATCCCATTTCATTTCAATTATAATAGTCTTCATCTAGAAACAATATTACTATTTATATTGGTATGTTACTACCAAGATATAACAATAAAATTAGCAAAAGTATGTATAAATTAATAAAGTTCTCTTTAGTATCTTTCATGAATAGTCAATTGTTCAATACCATTATTTCTCTTCACCTCATGCAAATAAATTGAAATGGGATTTAATGTTCAACTGTTTTACTTCACAACTTACATAAATCATTTGGTGATAAAGAAACATACATTTTTAGTATTTTTTTAACATAGTGTACTATACTATGCATCATTATATAGAAGACATATGAATGAATAAACAAAAATATGGCAAAATGAACAACATGAGAATGATTGTAGAAGTATAAGAACAAAGCAATTGTTTAATATTAAAAATATTTGATTTTCTTCTATTTTAAAGTTACATCCTTTACATTTGTATTTATACATTGTATGCAAAACATAATTAGAGAGAAATGGGTTTAACGTCCACTCAACACAAACAAGGTCATTTCGGGACTAACATATGGTTTAATTTTATTTCAATAATTTGCTTGCGCGTAGGGGTCTTTAGCAGTGGGGGGAAACCAGAGTACCCGGAGAAAATCAGGAGTATGGACAGGTGACCCTACTCCTTGCCACGTACAACCAGGGATTCGAGACCACGCCAGTTGACTTAATGGCAGGCCGTATGATACAGCATGCACACACTAACCATTCGGCCATCCAACCCAATACAGCAAGGATGAACAAATATTAGCATGTTTTAATGTTCATTATTAAAATAGAATACAAACAATGTAAGAATAATTATAATATCATGTATCAAACCAAAACAAATAATTCAATTTCAATAACTATTGAGAGCTGGCTGAAAAATTCTAAACCCATCTGTGAAAGAACTGTATAGAATTGTATAAAGTCCATTGTTTCCATTTATTTTTCTATGTAGTCACTTTTGAAGTGTACACTCTCACTCTTTAGTTAATGATGTTGCATGGCCTTGATGTCTGCCAGGAAGAAATTATCTTCAGTTACCCTTAAAAAATTGATCACAGCTGACATGACGTAATCATAGAGGGAAAATGATATCACCCATTTATGAACAGAAGTATTGTCTGAATAGAACACCTTTATAATACTTCTATTGCTAGTCTGGCTGTTTTTAAGGTAGTCAATCAGCAGAATAGTTTAGGAATCATAAACGAGTGAACCCATCACCGGTCCAGTCGAAAGAACTGACCTGGCTTGATTGGGGACTTGCGAGTCTGGATGCTTCCATTGTTTTTATTGAATTTTGCATTCTGGTTGAAACTGATGAATCCAGGTCTCCTCTATGTTTAAAAATCTGGCTAAAATTTTTTTAGGAAATATTGAAAACAGCAAAGATTGTCACTGGATGTCACTGGATCAAGTACCTCCTGCAACCACTTCTTTAGTGCAGAAAAGGAAGGGCCATTGTCTCCTATAGTGGAGACCGTATCCACATATTTCAATGTTTGGGTTAGGACTTTCAGTTGCAGATACTTGATGACTGCCATATAGATAGTTCTGTCCATTTTTGGTGATTTCAATGGGTAGGTTCACAAGATTGTCTGGTACAAATACAATAATAACACTTCAGCTGCAGGTCTTATGTCTATGATTCATTCAATGATTCTACTTGTGGTGGTAAAAGCCAATTAAATCTCTCCTCTTCAGATCTAGAACTTTTCAGCCAGCTGTTGTATTATAGTGTATCCACACAAAGAAAAATTAACACAGAGAAAAATCATTATTACATAATACATAATAAATATATAAAATGACAATAAATGATGTGGTATTCATATTTCAATCAGAAGACGGAGAAAAATGGGGTTTAAGTCCACTCGACAGAAACTAGGTATTTTGGCATTAACACATGGTCCAATTTTATTTCAATAATTTGCTTGTGCGTATGGGTCATTAGCAATGGAAGGAAACTGGAGTTCGCAGAGAAAACCCTCGAAGGATGAACGTGCTACCCTACTCCTTGCCACGTACAACTGGGGATTTGAAACCACACCAGTTCACTAAATGGCAGACCTTATGATACAGCGCGCACATACTAACCATTCACCCCCCCTGATTTCAAACAACAAAATTAAATGTATTGATACAAATATATATCTATGGATACAAATATATCTGTACAAATGTATATAGATATTTTCGAAATGCCAAAATCCGAAATTGCAGATTTGAAGTAAATGTTTCAAGATACTCAAAGAAAAAAGAATTAGTAAAATAGGTCAAATAGTCACAAAGTTACAGCATTGTAGGTCAAATGCATTCCTTCGTAAAATTCGGTGATTTCGGATTCGTAAAACGTTTTGAAAATATATTTAATCAACAGCCACCACCCATTTTTGGGGGGATAGGTAAAAGTTTCAGAACGATCCTATGGTTAGGTTCTGAGAAATCCGATTTGTGGACAAAACACAAAAAAAAAATAACAATAATAATCTTAACAGAAACAATAAGCTTTCATATGTAATATGAAAGCTTAATAAGAAGAACTAGAATTGCGCGCAATGTCGAAGGCTTTCACTGTCGCAAAGGCGTCACACGATCGCCAGATGCATGACAAAAGACTATCCCCACCACTCCCCCCACCCCCCAAAAAGCCCCACACTCTAGCATAACTCAGATATCGACCCCTAAACATGCTCTAACTCGTAAAAATACGCTGTTTTCAATTTTCGATCTCTTTTTTCGGCTACCCATGAAAATTAGAAAAATTGTACAAGGGTTTAACACAATACACTACCCAGTAGAATCTCGATTGAGCAAGTTTGAAAAAAATCATTGGCGGCTTTTCCGAGAAAAGTAATTATATAACTGTTAAATTAAACAACGGATAACTCCTACCTCTTAAAATGATTTATATAATTAGTAAATAATTATTATTATCTAATGATTGTTGTTTTTTGACATATATAGTGTAACCAATATATACATTGTACTTTTATAATCAATATGATACTGTGCATTATTTGTGTTTCTGTTCTTCTGATTTGAATTTCTTCATGCAATATTTCTAAATCGCCAGTAGGAATAAATGTCTCTTATATAGATACATTATGCTGGCTGGAAATTACACGGTAGGCTAACCTTGGGGACTGTTTGTAAATCGCCAGTAGGAATAAATGTTTTTTTATATAGATTCATTATGCTGGCTGGAATTTGCACGGTAGGCTAGCCTTTGGGACTGCGCTGTATCATACGGTCTGTCATTAAGTCAACTGGCGGGGTTTCGATTCCCCAATTGTACGTGACAAGGTGTAGGGTCGCCTGTCCAACCTCGTGGGTTTTCTCCGGGTCCTCCGATTTCCTCCCACTGCTAATGACCCCTACGCGCAAGCGAATTATTAAAATAATGAACCATATGTTAGTCCCGAAATGACCTCTAAACATGCTCGTACAGCGGCGCTAGTCTTCTTTTATATAGAATTCCAACCGCCAAGGGATCTTTTACGGTCACACCAATGTTTACACGGGACTTCGGAATCGCGTTCATGTCAGCTACTCAAATATGTAACTGGTTCAAAATTGATTGAATATTCAATGAAATATCGCCAAATTTCTGGTTTCGTGCACGTTAAAGATTTGACGTCACTAATAAAAATTTATTATTAATTACAGTTAGAGTCCATGCTCAAACAGCGTCACGCCTTTTATCACAGGTACAATATTCTATACTTATGTACAATACTACTGCAACCGCTTACCAAATTCGACTTTCTTATAAACAGCGCGAGCCGTCGATTTCTATCCAGATGATTACGGGTATAAGATAATTTTGACAAAGAAGCAACAATATCAATTCAAAGACTAATTATTACACACAGCTATCAACTATTTCT